CCTGTGGAGACAACTTCTCATGCATCTATTCCTTTACTGAGACTAGCAGTCACTGAGTTTCTGGGATCCATAACCTCCTTTGGATATGTGTTCAATAGTGTGGAGCTTGACAAGAGATGACAGTCTGCCATTCCTACAGACCAGTGGTTTCTTGACCAGCCCTTTGGTGAGCCTGTATGGTCTGCTTAGAAGCCACTGCCTGGCCCCTTCCATGCAGCCAGGATTCAGTGAGGCTGCCTCCCCTGCACTGTCCTTTACCTACCCACCAAAAACTACTTATGTTATGGCTTATTTCAGCTTTAGTACCATGTGCCATTTCTTGCCCACTGAACCATAAATATCCTGCGAGCAAAATCTTCAGGTTGATGGATTAAGTTATGTACATCACAAACTGCTTTCTTTTCTAAAAGTGAGGTGGTAGTGTGAACAGGGGTGCTGCCTGCTGAGTATCTTTGTGTAGTGGTGGATCACGGAAAGCACTAGTCATACAGGCTGCCTGCACTGAATGCATAAAATATTGAACAGACTGCAAAGGCCCCATCCACCTTGGCCCTGCAGAAGCCTCAGGTCCAAGATAGCCCCAAGGTGAACAGGGAGGTGATTGTCAAACTCCTCTCTGGGTCTAATCTTCTTTCAGTGCATTTTAGTATATGTGCTGCTGAAGTGAGCACTCTTTCAGTGCATTTTAAAAGTTTAGTTGCAAACTGGCTTGAAGGAATCAAAGCTGCTTTTCAGTAATTTCACATGCAGGACAAGCCCCAGCAGGCACGGTCCTAAATATTTTTAAATTATTTTTAAAAAGTCAGTTCTTGTTCCTTCTCCTTTCCTATGTGCTAAGTATCTAAGTTCTAAAATAGCATCTCACAAAATGTGACTGGAGGGCCGGGGATTTAGCTCGCTGGTTCCGCTGCCTGCTTCATAAGCGCAAGGTCCTGAGTTCGATCTAAAAAAAAAAAAAAAAAAAAAAGTGACTGAAGACAATAAGGCTAAGTATAGGAAAGCAATGGACAGATTGGGTGAGGACAATGGGTTATTCCCTCCTGTAAAGGCTGTGCCGCTTTGTGATCTGTGCGAACCCTCTGCTGAAGTCTCCCTGGGGAGGACTGGATGTTCAAGGGATTAATGGCATGTCCTGCTTTCCATCAAAGCCCATCTATCCTGTGTTACACGTGCACAAAAACAATATAGGAGCTGTACTAACTCAGAGAAATGTATGTGCATGTTTATACACTTACATTTGAAAATTCAGTGGTTTTTTTCCTCATTGAGTTTATTCGTACTTTTTAGGTATACAGTACAGTTGTATTCATCACTGGGATCTTGTACCTTTACATGACAGGTCTTGGTTCTCAGTTTTTCCCCATATCCCTGCCTTCCCTTCACTCCCTCCTCCCTTTCCTATTTACAAAACTTTTTTTTCCATTTTTTTGTTTTCTTATATTTTTTCTTTTTCCTTATTTCCTTTCCCCTACCCTTCCCACTTCCCCTACACCTTTAGCCCTTTTCTTCCTATTTCACATTGTCAATTATACCATTTGGATCTTATTTACACTTTTAGTTTTTCACACCAGAGAAACTATTTGGTATTTACACATGTGACTTAATTATTTCACTTAAGAGTATACCCTCAATATTCATCCATTTTCCTAGTTTCTCATTCTCTATGGCTGAGTATATTCCATTTTACAGAAAAACCACATCTTCTTTATTCAGTCTCCAACTCTTGGGCAATTGGGCTATTTCCAAGTTTTAGATATTACAAACTGTGCCACTATAAACATGGATGTGCATATATCACTGCGGTATGATTCTTTTAATTCTTTTGGAAAGATACCCAGCAGAGGGATGGCTGGGCCAAATGGAGCCTCTAATCCTATTTCTTTGAGGTATCTCCATGCTGATTTCCATAGCGGTTGCACCAGTCTGCACTCCCACCAACAATGGAGAAGGGTTCCTTTTCCCCACAACCCTGCCAACATTTGTTGTTGGTTGATTTCTTGATAGCAGCTATTCTTTGTAGGGTGAGATGGAATCTCAGTGTTGTTTTCATCTGCATCTCTCAAATGACCAGTGATGTGGGACATTTTTTCATATATCTATGTGCTGCTTTTACTTCTTTGTCTGAAAAAATGTCTGTTCATTTCAGATGTCCATTTTTGAATTGGGCCTTTATATTTGGGGGTCCTGATTGTTTTGAGTTCTTTATATATTCTAGATAATAGTTATTTGACTGAGGAGCAGCTGGTAAATTTTTTTCCCACTTTGTAGGTTATGTCTTAGCTCTGTTGGTGGTTTCTTTCACAGCGAAAGTGTTCTTCAAATTACAACTAGGAATTTGGGATAGGGCTAAACAAATTTGAAGAGGTGTCCAGGCATGGTGGTGTATACCTGTAAACCCAGTACTCTGGAAGACTGCGGCAAGTTCTATGCCAGCCAGGGAAACTTAGCAACTTGGTGAGACCCTGTCTCAAAAAAATTTTTAAAAGGGCTGGGGATGTAGCTCACTTCAAAGGCCATCAGTTCAATCTCGGTAATGCAAAACAAACAGAATCCCCAAAGCCCTAGAAGTGAGCCAATAGCCTTCTGGACAGACTTCTCCACTCAGGGCTATATTATACAAAGATAAATAATTATACAGTTATGTCTAAACAATATAGCATGAGAATTATGACTCCTCTGAGCTACATTATTGTCTGTACATGATGTTACTTGCAGAGAAGACTGGATTGTCCTAGACTATACTAGGACATAGCTATCCCATAAGATGATCACTTTGGCTTCACTGCTCAACTGCAGGGGCATCATTCAGATGTAAATGGAATTTCATGGAGCTCAAGGCCCAGTTCCTAAACTACAATGTGAATGGTGTTGAGTTGGGCAATTTAGTGCCAAGCCACTCTGTGTGGAGGCTTAGCCTTGGGCTACCTCTCTACACCTGCAGTTCTTTATAGCCCTTTCTGTCTATAGGAGATCGGTGCCTTTGCTACACACACACACACACACACACACACACACACACACACACACACACAAATACACACACACACTGCCACTTCCACCACCAGCACTACTATTATCACCAAGAAAATCCTCCTTGTTTCCAAGGTAAAGATGATGTAATTCTTCATTCTGCTCCACACACACACACACACACACACACACACACACACACACACACACAAATACACACACACACACTGCCACTTCCACCACCAGCACTACTATTATCACCAAGAAAATCCTCCTTGTTTCCAAGGTAAAGATGATGTAATTCTTCATCATTCTATAACTTTGCCATATTGCTTGAAAAAGAACAACACTTCTTCAGAGGCAAGACAGCCCAGCACTTGTCCCTCCAGCATTCCAGTGTCCCTGAGGACAGGGAAGCCCACTTGTCAGACAGCGCTGACCTGGGAATCTCATAGCCATGTGCTCCCTGCTTGTCTACATGCGAATCGCTGGTAAGGGTCCAGCCACCTGGAAAGGCAAGATGAAGGAGAAGGAGAGACACTGCTACACAGACTGTTGGGTTATTTGATGATCCCAATCATCGTATTTGGCACGGCAAAGCCTGCAGAGATGGCTAGCACTTTGGTTTTGTTGGAACCAGAATCAGGTAGATGTAGAACTATCCCAAACTTTCAGCTCTGCTCATCTGTTGAACATACTGAGCTCTAGATTACAATACAGTATTCCAGATTATTGCATGCATGGCTTTTGAGTCCTTGTGGGCAAGAAAAAGGAAGCAGAGTAGGTAGGAGGCAGAAGCACAAAACATATAGGATTTCCATTACGTGTGAAGAGCATTTATTTAAAGGTTACTTCCCCTAGACTCTGCCCCTTCCCTCTCCTCAAAAGTATAATAATTTAAATTTGTTACTTGTCAATCTTTCAAATAATTTAAAACCACTTTCTTTTCAAATTGTCAATTACAAAATGAACCTTTATTTACCCTAAATGTCCCTCTTGGTAGATTTCATGGAAGTAGAAGATAGTGAAGGCAGGGGTCTTGATTTTTCCTTTGCTGGTTCTACAGGGGTGACTTTAGCTCACCACAATAACTGGGGACAGAATGGGATTGAAACAATGAGACCATAATTCTTCATCTCCGTATCTGAGGCAGTCTTAATGTGGCCAGTTCATGTGTTCAGTGTTGGTGATCTGAACACCTGCATAAGATTCGTTAACTCTCACAGAGTACCCTGCTGGAGAGTATGCTCCTTCTTTTGTGAGGATGAAGGTCCTGTCTTGGTCTCTACACTCTGATTATGCTGAGTGTTCAGCATTAGAAACCCATTTAGCAGTCAAGATGGTCGCTAGTTTAGATCCAGACACTTGAGACCCACCCCATCATCCTTAGTCTACCGGTTACTAATTTATAATGCAGACTTGCAGCTGGTCTCCCATCTTGATGACTCCTCTAGTGATTTCTGGTACTGACTTGAGACTGTCCTGGCCTGTCTTGTTGATCAGTTTCCCCGACAGACACATATGCTATTTAGGACAGTTCTGAATTACTAATTTCTGCATTTTCAAACCTCGTGTCATTGCTCAGCATGGTAGAAAAGAAGGTTCTGTGTTCTGATACATGAATGTGCTTCATACATTTCCAAAAAGCGGGGAGAAGAAGCAAGTTTTCCAACCTTATTTGATTATTGATCCTCTCTTTTTGCCAAATGCTTATTGATATCTTTGAGATACAATTTATTTGCTAAATTATGATTAGGGAAATGCTGGTATTTATATTGCTTCTCCCTTACCTAACAACATAAAAAAGGCAGTCCACATTCCCTGGAGATTTTCCTGCTCTCTCCTGAACATTTCCAATGCTCCTAACCCCAAATTACTTAATCATAAACATTTCCTCCTGGCAGGCAGCAATTTCCATTATCATAAGCTCACCAACTCTTTGAGACACAGTTTCACCAGGCCCTCTTTATTCATTATTGGCCCTGAAACAAGCAAAAACAGTGTGATGGCTAAGAACTAGGGACACTTACTTGAGTGAGTCCAGAGCATCGCTGAGTGCATTGGCAAAATTGATATCTGTTGGGACATTTTTATACTCTAGGCAATAAGTAGGTCTGACACCAAGAATCTCAACCTCGCAGCCTAAAAAGGAAAAAGATGGTAAATGGTTATTCTTTTTAATACTTGATGGAGGGTTATGGGCCTGTTTCATGAAGCAAACATCATTAGTCAAAATGAGATTTTTGTAGATTTCTTTGAAATAAATTAGCTTATTGCTAATAGTTGGTGTTTTTCATTGTAATTTTGCTTAATTGTAGAAAAAGTTCTTAAATGTCATTCTTGTGTAACACCGGCATCCCAAAATAGAGACTGGTAAAAACTGGATAGCAGAAACAAAATGAAAATTAATTATGCACAGAATTACCTCACTTAAAACTTTTTCTTAGAAATTTTTCATAACTAAGTCTTCTAGTATGCCCTTGACTATTACAGAATAAAATGGTGAATAGTATCTGATTGGTCAGAGAATCAAAAAATGATTATTTCGTTATCTTCTGGTAGTATAAGACTGTGTTTTGAGGCGTTCCACTAGATTAGTAAGGAAAAAAATCAGTTAATTTCAAGGAAGGATTTTGAGCTGTGACCCCTCCTTTCCCAAAACTCAGCAAAACAATCAAAGGCAGTCAGCTGTGATGTGCTCAGTTTCTTTCCCCAGACACTTGGACAAGCAGAAGTTGTCATCTTAAGGAAGAGATACAACCATATATCAGAACAGAGAGCAGAAGAGGGGTGAGTCAGTCTCAGTTTACATTAGCTGAGTAAATATTTATTTGGCACCTTCTATGAACTAGTCACTATGTTCAGACATAGTGGAAACAAGAATGAATCAGCCAGGGTCTCCTTCCTGGAACATCCCGAGTCAAGTCTAGCGAAAGAAGAGGGATGGATGTAGAAATGTGAGGGACATCCCAGGCAAAAACAGCAGCATAAGCAAAAGTTAAGAGAGCTTTTGAACAATCATGCACATATGAAAAACTTCCAAATCCATGAAATCCCAGACAGGGGTGTCAGGAGATCAGATGTTGCTCTTTCTTAAACCCCAGGGGAAATGACTTCCCAGTGGAAAGGAGTAAAAATGGAACGAGTGGTGTGTGTGGGAGGAAGGGGGATCTTGTCAGAAAACACACTGATCTCACTCCTGGATGCATCTGCCAGCTGGTGCCAGCTGGTTTCAAAGACAGCGGGGCATCAGTCAGGGAGAGTCCCTTCAACTGGCTCAGGTAGCTTCACAAAGTTGGAGTGCTCTGTGGGAGACTCTACCCCTGAGTGCCTGACAGAGGCCTCACGGAGAACAAGATCCATCTAGCACAACTGAAAACTCAAAGGTGGGCAGCTTTCTTCTCAGTGGGGTAGAACAAATGGGCTACCTGACCCATGAATAAATCTTGCTCGTGGCTTCTGGGAGAATATTTATTATTATAAGAAATGCCAGGGAAATCGCGGCTGGTTACGTTACCTTAGGTACCTGTGTTTTATCTATCAAAGGCTAATTGTAAAATGTTATTATTCTTTCAAAACCATTTATTCTGTATCCACTCAGTGTAAATTTTTTTGGGGGGCGGGTACCAGGGATCAAACTCGGGTCCATGCACTTACAAGGCAGGCGGTGGAACCACTGAGCTAAATCCCCAGCCCCCTTTGTAAAATTTTAAGAACCTTACACTCTGGCACCTCTGATGCATGGGTGTGCGAGTTGTCAACTAACGGAACATTGACCATGATTTTTCAGATAAAGAAATAGCATGACTTTTTGGCATTTGCATATTAATACAATATCAAATCATAAATGTTTTAGTATAATCAACAGTAAGTATGTTTATTAATATTAACAAACATATGTTCTTCCCATCCTTTTATCTGATTATAATGAATTTGAACTCAACACTGGTTCAGTAATACAGCTCGCCTGAAAAATTCATTCTTGCCTTAGTTTAAAGTAGTAAACAAACTTTTTAATTGATTAATAAGGTCTAAAATTGTGTAGTAAAGGTAGAGGTAATATGCAGTAATGTACAGATGCTATTACACTGTGATGGAATTTTTATTTTTAAAAATTGTGCAGGAATACTTCAGAGACATAGGAGGTTTAGTTCTAGAGCACTGCAACAAAGCGAGTAGCACAACAGAGCAAGTCACATGTACAGTTTGGCTTCCTGGTGCATATAAAATAATGTTTACACTATTCTGTACTGTATGCAGTGTTTAGAAAAGTGAAAACCACTACTAACAATTACTTGAGCAATTGGAAACATGGTGCTAATAGACTCACTCATCGTGGGGCTGCCATAAGCTTTGAATTTCTAAGGGCCACAATATCTTTGAAGCACAATGAAGTAAAGTACAATAAAATAAAAGCATGCTTATAATTAATTTTGATTTAATCAAGGACCATAGCAGCATCCTACCAAAGCCTGAGGGCAGAATAGGAGAAACCGGCGAAATCTTTAAAGTGCACAAACTCCTCCCTAAGAGCAAGGTAAAGTCTCATCAAAGATAAGGTACAGAATGTCAGAATGGAGAGAAAGATGCCCACTTGTAACAACTTGTGGATAATGCTGGAGAGAAAAAGAACTCTTTAATGACCTCAGAAATTGACAGCACAAGTTCTGTAAAGTACCAAGAGTTCTCCATTGGGAAAATTCTATGACATGCTATAGTGATAATTCTTAATGTTTCTTCACATATGAATCTAGTGTCAAAGTGAACATAACTAAATGTTCAAAAAGGCTCATCCTGGCACAGATAAAAATTAGATTGATTTAGACGCCATCCCAGAGTACTGACATAAGAAAAGATATGGAATTTTCTGGGGAAAATGTCTGATATTATACTGTATTGTTCTTTTTGGCATAATGTCTAGCATATAATAAAAAATGATAAAACATTCAAAAAAATTAGTGAAATGTGCCTCACAATTAAGAAAAAAATAGTCAACAGAATCTATCCCACAAATATTGGCCAGAAAAGGCAAAAATAAAAGAAAAATATTTAAAGGCTATTGACTATTTAAAACAAAATTAATACTAAAATATGATGGAGGGCTGGGGATTTAGCTCAGTGGTTCCACCGCCTGCTTCACAAGTACAAGGTCCTGAGTTTGATCCCCAGTACAAAAAAAAAAAAAGATAGAAAAAAGAAACAAAGAAATATGATGGAGTTTACAACACATGTGCAACTCAAATTTATAATAATAAAAAATAAAGGATATGTATGTGGACAAATGAGATGATAAAAATTAAGGACTCTAATTGTGGCACACACTTGTAATCCCAGGCTGAGGTGAGAGAATAGTGAGTTTGAGCCCAACTTAGACTTATTGCAAGGTAGAAAATAAATGAATTAAGGATGTATATTGGAATAGATAGAGTAATTACTAAGGAAAGATCCTTCAAAATCTAAAATGAATTAGAGGCAGGTGGCTGCACCAATGAGTTAAATCGCCATCACTGAGATTCCACCTAACCCCACAAAGAATGGCTGCTATCAAGAAATCAACCAACAACAAATATTTGCAGGGTTGTGGGGAGAAAGGAACCCTTCTCCATGGTTGGTGGGAATGCAGACTGGTGCAACCACTATGGAAATCAATATGGAGACACCTCAAAGAGCTGGGACTAGAGGTTCCATTTGACCCAGCTATTCCTCTGCTGGGTACCTTTCCAAAAGAATTAAAAGGCCATACCACAGTGATATATGTGCAGCCATGTTTATAGCAGCACAGTTTGTAATAGCTAAAGCTTGGAAACAGCCCATTTGTCCATCAGTTGGAGACTGGATAAAGAAGATGCGATTTTTCTATAAAATGGAATACTATTCAGCCATAAAGTATGAGAAATTAGAGTCATTCATAGGAAAATGGATGCATATTGAGGTTATACTCTTAAGTGAAATAAATAAGTCACATGTGTAAATACCAAATAGCTTCTTTGGTGTAGAAAACTAAAAGTGTAAATAAGATCCTAATGGTATAATGGACAATGTGAAATAGGAAGAAAAGGGCTAAAGATGTAGGAGAAGTGGGAGAGGAAGGGGAAAGGAAATAAGGGAAAGAAAAATATATGAAAAAATGAAAAATGGAAATAAAGTGTTTGTAAATAGGGAAGACAGGAAGGGGTAAAGGGGGGGCAGGGGTATGGGGAAAAACTGAGAACCAAGACCTGTCATGTAAAGGTACAAGATCCCAATAATAAATGTAACTGTACTGTATACCTAAAATGTACCAATAAACTCAATGAGAAAAAAACAAAATGAATTAGAAAGGGGAGGGCAAAATACAACTACAGTATTAAATTAATAGAAAAGAAGACAGAGAAATAAAAACCGACAAAAAATATGAAGATGATAGGCTTGAATCCAACTGTATCAATAATATAATAAAAATAAATTGACCAACACTTTGATTAAAAGGCAGAGATGGTCCAACTGCATTAAAAAATAAGATTGACACATTCTGTCTACAAAAGAAGTGTAAATACACTGATTTAAAAAAAAGAATGGAGAAAAAAGCTATACATGCAACACTAAGTACAGCCAAATTGTGAGGTTATGTATCAAAGTAGATTTCTAAAGAATATCAATGATAGTCAAGATGAGTAACACTTATAATTTGTTGGTGGATACTTAAATGATGTACCACTTCATAAATTTGCTCAGTGGAATGATGTAAAGTTAAATATACATCTCCCTTATGAGCCATCAATTCCACCCTTTAGCATATACACAAAAGAAATGAAAGTGTGTCTACAAAAGACTTGTGTGAGAATGTTCATAGTGACTACAGTCATAAGTGCTCCAAATTAGAAATAACCCAAATATCCATAAATAAGAGAATGGGAACATTTTTGATATATTTATGTCATGAAATCCAATACAATAGTTAAAAATAAACCCGGATGCATGCTGCAACTAGTGCACTTTAAAAATACTGCATTGAATAAAAGAAGGATGGATTCCATTTATATGAAGCCTGAGAACGGACAAACCTAATCTATGATAATGTGAATCAGAAAGCATTTGCCTCTGTGGGTGAGAAATAATCAACTGGAAGGAGAAATAATGATGAATATACTTTATTTTGATTT